TTCAAGACAAAGAACAGCAATGGAATAACTATTCCCATAGACGAAGAACAGCAATGGAATAACTATTCCCATAGACGAAGAACAGCAATGGAATAACTATTCCCATAGACAAAGAACAGCAATGGAATAACTATTCCCATAGACGAAGAACAGCAATGGAATAACTATTCCCATAGATGAAGAACAGCAATGGAATAACTATTCCCATAGACGAAGAACAGCAATGGAATAATTATTCCCATGCTTTGGGTTTGTGTTTGCATGTAGATTTTTGTGTCATTAACTAATGCATCATGACAATTTCTTATCCATTTCCTATATCTAAATACTGATGCTCATGGAAATTCTATTACAGCAAAATTTTCTCATTCTACCTTTAAATGATTATGTAAACAAATATTTCTTCATATGTTCCATTTTTGTTTTAAATCAGCAACTTACACAAAGTTAACACAAAAACACAGTAACCTTGACCTTGGTGTGTTATCCAATGATACTTTGATTTGTTGACAAAGAACTTCTGTCAGACATTATCAACATGTATCATTAGCCAATCATCACTGATTAAAATGTTTATCATAATTTACACAATTATCTCCCCTGTCTACTGATAACTGACTGATAAGTCTGTAATCCTGTAGATAATGCTGTATACTTTTGATATGAAGAACATGTTAGTGATGAGCAAAAATGTGCAAAAACCACATGTCATCATGAATGTTCTAAAATCAGATTCCAAGTTTCATAATTTTAGACCTCGTGGCATTGAACTTCAGTATACCTATTGATATCAAGACTCATCAGTTGGGTCCAATTCAAAACAGATGAAATGCCAAAAATTAATAAATTGAAAACCATAAATTTGCCCATTTGAATTATGCCATTATGTGTTACCAAATTTAGCCTTGGGGTAAAAACCTCAGGACTTTGAATAATTTCAACATTTTATTAACAGTAATAACAGATTACATCAATAATATTTCTTATCAGCACTACCTGTTTTTAACTTCTCAATTACTCACATGGCAAGTGATACCCTTGTGGATGAAAAGCCTACCAGATGCTAACAAACAGTCACAAAATAAATTAATTATTTAGGGAAAAAAAAAGAATAATTTAATCATGAAAATATCAATACCCAGAAAACATCTGATAAATCTATTATTTATAAAGTGTAACTTGTGACCCAGAGACACAAATTTTGAACTCTTTTACAAGTTGGTAAAGAAGCCGACTGTTTTCACAGTTTCCCCAGTGCTATTTTCAAAAGGCTGTAAATTAACATACCTAGTTCATAAAAATCACTTATTCTTTGTTCAAGCTTACAAAACAAATTGCATTAAAAAGACCATTTTTTCTATTTGTGACATACTCTCAGCACCAGCTGCAAGGATTTTACATAGCCAGAAAATCAATTACATGTTTCTTATAACTTGTAACAGTGTGACAGATTGCCTCTCGCTCGCACATTAAAACTCGTTTACAAGTGGCTTAATCAAAATGTAACAATAATAAATAACTCTAAACAAATAGCTTTTTCATTGCTTGGATTATTAAATTATACAGTGTATCAACTTTTGTCACAAGGAACTTATTTCTATGAATGTATAAGGGTTGAAAATTATAAGTTGAATTTCTACCAAGCTAAGTTTAAATTTCCAGAAAATGTTAAAGATACCCCCAGAGACACAACTACTCCATGAGTGATACTCTTGGTGAGACTCAATTATTGAGTCAAAATTAAGAAAATTGTACTAAACATGCAAATTTTAGACCATGATGGGGATAACCCAGACTAAACCTACTTCACCTTGGATCAAACATTGTTTTTTTGGTCTTTTGCTTTACAAAGACTTTTTAGTATTCTTCCTGGTTAATTGTTTCAAAATAAAATTTGCAGACCACTCTACTAGGCAGGAGGTAGAAAAATCATTGTTTGTCTGAGTTTGATGCTCAGAAGGAGTCACAGTCTCATCTCTTCATAATACTTCTTGCAACATTCCAGCCTTCAAACTTCTCAATCAATTGTTTATAAACAAACAATTCTATCACTGACAGGTGCCAAATCATCACCAATATGAAAACCATTATAGTTTTGGCCTGTCTACCTACATTTTTGTAATGATTACACATCTCATAAACAAAACATTCATCCAGACAGGCTTTATTGCCAATTAATCTGCAGAGAAATGCACAAAAATGCAAAAAGATACTTCTAACATACCCAAGGTGCTCCTGATTGTTTTGAATGGATATCCCAGATGCATGATGGGAACTATTACATTGGAAGGTGTTGAAAATTAATCTAAATAAACTCAAGTGATCTCTTTTGTTTAAAAATATAACAATTACCTAAATTGAAGTGACTAACAAATTTACACATGAAAAGTTGATAATTTGTATAAAATGGTAATAAACAGGAAAATTCACAGCTTCTGATGTGAGAATTAATATGATATTATGATGAACAGTTTGGCAATCAGGGTAATAATTCGTAGTTCATATAAGTTCTTTTATTAACACTGGACATATTTGTTACATGTATATGAAGAAAAGTGGAGGTTATTGGCAGGTATTTGATTGTTTCTGTTAAATTTGTTTAAAGATATAATAAGGGACAATTAAGAGCCGGACGTTGGAAGATTGCCCTCAAGTATATGCCTCTTTGTTTTGTCTTTGGGTTGCTGTCTTATATTGATAATTAAACCCCACATCTCCTTATATTTATGATATTTTGTTCAAAGGGTAATTTAAGAATAAAATCCTTTAATGAAACAATTTTTTAAAGCTACCAATATTTGGATGGTTGATTTAGTCATTTCAAAGCACCTTTCATCCAAATGCCAAACTATGGGCTACCAACTTCTGCCCACTCAAATTTAACCTCAGACTTTGTTAAATTACAGATTGTGAATACAAATGCTAAACTAAAAAACAAAAAAACACCGAACTGATCCACTGAAAAAAATCACTACAAAAAAATAGGCTCTGAGCAGTGTAAGCTGCGATTTGTACATTTCACATTAGCAGTGTCTCTCCATTCCATACTCTCAGATACTAAAGTATTAATTAATTCACTCAAAGCTGGAAGGATTAGTGAACAAGTAGAAAAACTGACAGGGGGGATTAATGCCCTACAATTTATCAACTTCTCAAATCTGATTAAATTCTCCAAGGGTTTTAACAAGGATCAACTTTGGTATTATGTCCTTTATAAAATTCCCATATCCTCTATACCGCTGGGTTTATACTTGTGTATTGAATTTGTAGTGACTGATTTTGCCGTCATCTTGAAACCCAGCAAAAACCTTGTCCTGAACACATCCCGGATTAGCAAGAGATCTCGGTTTTTTATTGTGACTAAGCCAGAATAGCTGTGTATCTGTAACAGTCTCCCTGGACACTACTATATCTGGATTAAGACTGCTTACATAAATGAAATTGAGGAATAAGCATTTTAATCCCAGAAAGCCTCTCTATCCTTAAATTAAACTTATTGACAAACATCAAGACCTGAATTTTCATTTCATGACAAATTCCCTAGTAACCTAGCACTTAAATATGACACTACCTACTCGAATCATAAAATAAATGTACTATTATTATATTTTAAAACAATATGTCTTTCTTTAATAAAAGTGACTATGGCATATTTAAATATCCTAAAGTTGTCCTATCAGCTTCCTTCAAACAAGGAAACACTTAATTCTGGGGAAACTTCATCAGCTTATTTTATACCCACTTGTGATTCCTAATTAATAATTCTGTCTTTAATACTTGTACTATAGGTAGTTTAGTCTAAATACTTGTACAATATAGGTACATTGTCAGAAAATATAAATTTTCTCTGTACAAGCATTAGAAACTGTAGGAATAAAGGCAAGACTAGCCTAGTTTTCTCCTCTTTCATAACAAGTACAAATAATTTCTTCTTTTCTGCCCATATATTTATATATATAAATATATTCTTCTTTTCTTCAATTTCACATTGACACTTTAATGTTAAATTCTTAATACCAAATCTGATATTTTAGCTTAAACACAGACCGCAATCAGAGGACCCCAAGTCATTTTAATATCTATGAAACTTTTCAAAGGATATCCAGAAGTATTTTATACAAAAAACAAACATATATTTGTATATAGGTTCCTGTTATTGTACAATAGTTGGCCGATTGCAGGATACAATATACATGTCTTTTTTACATCTATGGAAAATACTATTTATAAATAGAAAAATCTTAACTCATTTTCTTTATAATAGCATAAAATAACTAATTTGTATCTTGTGTTTCACAATTTTACCCTAATTTTTTGCTTTTTATTTAAAAAAAAAACCCTTTTTGATAAGATGTGTAAAAGTCAAGTTTCAGATTAATTTTATGAAATCTATTATGGACCCATGTCCAAAAACCTAAAGAAAATAAAAAAGTTCCAAAATAACAGCAATAATTGGACGCCGATATATTAATATTAGAACGCATTGCCTTATCAGCACTTTTGGATCAAACCTTCAAAATTACGACAAAATTGTCTTTTAATAAGAATACACACATTTCATTTCCGACAAAATTGTCTTTTAATAAGAATACACACATTTCATTTCTTGTTAACTATTAATACATATACATGTAATTATTTCAGCTTCTACAAGCAGTATCTCAAGCGTGAATGTTTGATATTCAAGCTGGATATTCTACTTACTGACAGACCAAATTACCTCACAATACCTGTTACAATCTTCACTCAAATAACATTCAAAATATTCAGGAAATTGGTATGCACGTTTAGAAAGTAGAATTATGGATCCGACATGCAATTACTTAGTGAATAGCAAATGCAAACTAACATAATGGCTCTGCATTGAATTTATTAATTAGCATGACAGCTGTCAACGGCTTCGTACAAATTATTTAGCATAAAATAGCAGGATATTACACACACATCAATACCCTTGAAAAGAAACACAAGGTATTAGCCCGACGGCATATCCTTCTTACCTTTAGCTCAGGTTTTACAAATTCAACTTCTCCTTTTAAAGGCTGATCATCCATAAAGAATCACAAATGTCAGAAATCGTTCAAAAGTTTTTTCTGATTTCACCTGAATCGGCCATAATGCTTCCCGTAATGAATGTGAATAAAATGATCTGTTATTTTATCGATCGGCTACATACCGAGCCAAGAGATTTCCAGTTGAATGACTTAAACATCATTTTACACGATATCTATTTTATTTCTCTGAGTATCTATCCTAGTCATCTTCATTATAGCCATAATCACAATTTTATAAAGCTATCGTGCGGGGAATTGAATGTGAAACAAATTATCACGTACAGAGAAGTGTAGGATCTCAGATACATTATCACTGATTATTCTCCACAGAGATCATCAGTCCTTTGCCAAATCATGTTAGGTTCGGCTGATATTTTTATCAAAGCAAATTGATATATAATAAGGCCTTATTGACTTGGATGTGAATTTATCTTTATATCACCAATCGGCAGTTTAATGAATCATTTTATCACTTCATAAGTGTCAAAGAACAAGTGTATAAGCAGTTATCTCCCCTGAAATATTTCATTTATCTATAAGTATACCAGGTTTTAGTGATTTGTATACACCTGTTCAACATAAATTTCACATTAAAATCAAGATTACAATAATTTTAACAATTTATCATATTCCTTAGGCATCTTCCAGCCTTTTATTTTTTTTTGTCCCTTATATCTTTTACTTACTTTTTTTGTTATGAATAAAAATGAAACGAGGCATAAACATCAACCTGACAACAAACCAATGACACAAATAATAAAAAGACATCTAGAGGGCAAAATGCTATCTTTAATAAAATGCTTCGCTGGGCGCAGCTTGATACGACCGCAGAGGTCGAACCCTGAACAGTTGGGGCAAGTATGGACACAACATTCAAACTTGATACAGCTCTGAATTTGGATTGTGATTAAATATTTGACACAGCATAGGTTTCTGACACAGAAAGAATGTTGTCTAAGAACTTCAATTTTTTTAATTTACCTATTATGGTCCAATGTCCAAAATCAAAATACATGGTTAGATTCAGCATATCAAAGAACCCCATATATTCAATTTTTGTTGAAATCAAACAAAGTTTAATTTTGGACCCCAACTTGGACAAACTTGAAAACTGGTCCCATAATCAAAAATCTAAACACATGGTTAGATTCAGCATATCAAAGTACCCCAAGAATTCAATTTTTGTTAAAATCAAACTAAGTTTAATTTTGGACCCTTTGGACCTTAATGTAGACCAATTTAAAAAACGGGACCCAAAATTAAAAATCTAAAAACACGGTTAGATTTGGCATATCAAAGAACCCCAATAATTCAATTTTAGATGAAATCAAACAAAGTTTAATTTTGGACCCTTTTGACCTCAATATGAACCAATTTGATAGCAGGCCCACAAAATAAAAAATCTAAATACATGGTAAGATTCAGCATATCAAAGAACCCCATATATTCAATTTTTGTTGAAATCAAACAAAGTTTAATTTTGGACCCCAATTTGGACCAACTTGAAAACTGGACCAAAAATCTAAAATCTAAATACATGTTTAGATTCAGCATATCAAAGAACCCCATATATTCAATTTTTGTTGAAATCAAACAAAGTTTAATTTTGGACCCCAACTTGGACCAACTTGAAAACTGGTCCCATAATCAAAAATCTAAACACATGTTTAGATTCAGCATATCAAAGAACCCCAGAAATTCAATTTTTGTTAAAATCAAACTAAGTTTAATTTTGGACCCTTTGGACCTTAATGTAGACCAATTTAAAAAACAGGACCCAAAATTTAAAATCTACCCAAGAGAAAATAAATCTGGAATCCCACTGAAATCCCAGCTGGAATTTTGATGGGATTCCAAGTGGGATCCCACCTAATTCCACCGGGATAAAATTTCGGGAATCCCGCCAAAAGTCCGGGAATTCCGATGTAAATCCCGGTTGAAATATACTGGGATCCCACTGGGATATTGTGGGATTTTGATTGGAATATACTAGGATTCTGATTGGGATCCCGCTCTTTTAGCGGGAATCCCGAAATTTTATCCCAGTGGAAATATACTGGGATTCCAGTATATTTCCACTGGGATTTACATCGGGAATCCCGGACTTTTGGCGGGATTCCCGAAATTTTATCCCAGTGGAAATATACTGGGATCCCAGTATATTTCCACTGGGATAAAATTTCGGGATTCCCGCTAAAAGAGCGGGATTCCCGAAATGCTACGATTTTGCATTTTCTGAGGGAATATACACATTTATTACTCATTATAAGGTAGATGAATATTGCCCTTGTTGTATCAAATCTGTCATGTATATATAAACATTGCGGCATGAATTACATTGTATTGGCCATGTTTAATATCTTATTTCAATGGCTGTCAAGTTCCCATTCAAAAAAAATGTACTTGTATTTAATGTCAGATCCTTAAACTTCCATCAAAATTATAGATACTAGTACTACTAGCAAACTTGTTTGCCATTTTTAATGGCTGCTTATATTGTTAAATTACCTATTAATTAAATATGGTACTCACCCCACCCCTCCTCCCCATGTTCACTAACACCTTCAAGCATTTCATTGTCTTAATTGTATTTAGATACGCAGTTTTCACCATGGCTTAATGATGCTCGCTGTTCAGTTTCAAATATTATAATATTAAAAATGTGTGTCAGATATAAAGGATACATGTGAAGTTCTCCTCCTTTCTGTAATTAAATTTGCTGTCTCTGTACTTCCAACTAGTATTGCTGAGTAAAGGTAACTGGAATCTGCATGCAATCCGTTTACTTTCAAAATTGGCAGCTCCATTTAATCATTTAATCCCCTAAAAGTATCAAAAAAATCCACAAAGAATCAATTGTTCTAGACATTTTGAAGCAATAAATTCAATAGAAATATTATTGCATGTTTATACAGTATACATTGGAAGCCAGTTGGAATCAAATTAATTACCCTCCCTCTTTTTTTATCCCCTGAAGATAAAAAACTAGCGACTTATTATTTTCACCAAATAACCATTCACACAATTCAATTAAATTTTTACATATCTACCAGTTATGCCTGTTATGTGACAACAAGATTATTCAATGTTGTTAAAAATAAATATATTTTTCAGTTTATGCAGGAACATATATATATTAGATATATCTGCATGTTCCCAGGTTTATGCTTTCAGATTTTCTGATGTTGATTTGCTAAAAAAAAAACCATAAAAAAATCATAGTTCCTCAATAAATTATATTTTATAATCTCATTATATACACATGTTAAATTAAATTTTAAATGCACTTATCTGAAAACATCTTCACCATCACATGGAATCTTCTATTTTGCTACAGCGTAATCACATTTTGATGACGTTTTTATTGAGTACTCTAACGTCGAGGTGACAATCTCGCCCCATATTATATCGGCCAGAAGTTGATCCGTCCCCGTAACGGTATTATAAAAATAAATCAAGGGTGTCGTATAAAAGTATTTATTACTGGCCAGTTTTTAAAAATAAGAAAAAAAAACCTTTAATTTAATCGGCACAGGGTGCATGCGGATGAACTAGTGGCCGCATTATCTAGGACGGTATTTTCTAGGGTCGGACTGTTCAGTACAATTACTAAAAACCACGTGGTCATGACTTGTTTACATAAGTTGAGAACCAAGGTTTTACGATGTCGATCGTTGGCCTATCATTGATCTGATAATTTTTCTATGTTATTTAAATGCCGGACAACAGGTAGAAAATCAGAAACGATCCAGCTTGTCTGGCAAAACAGCCGTTGGCGTTTCTCGGGCGCCCTTTCGTTTTTATCGCGAAAATCTCGGCATTTTTCTGACTTTGAAATACTGTCAAACTAAAATTTGTAATTCTTCCATCAACAGAAGTTCAGCTAGCTGTGTAAACTGTCAAATTAAGTGACCCATTAAGTGCAGGGCTTCACCTGACAGCTTTGGTGTCAAACACATTGTTAATTAACACAAATAACCTTTGCTTTATGTCATAAATAATTTGTGTATTTCAAAAATGTTTCAGTTACTTCCCCTTTTTTATCACCTTTTCACAATATATTCCTTAAATTTATTGGTTTTTTTTCTAAAAAAAAAAAATAAAACAAATTGAATGCAAATGCATATCAGAATATTACTTTTAATTATTTTTAACCTGAAAACACTTCAAATATAAATATTTTGAAAATTATTTTTTTCATCTTTACTTCCATTAATTGATCTATCAAGTTCATTCAAATAATAATTCAAATTTTCATTGAAAGAGGACAACTTTTATTTTTAGAAGCAATAAGTGGGGGAGAGGCATTTAAAAAAGGGCATCCAATTTTTCAAAGCACCAGTTTTAAGTGGGGTCATTCAAAATATATTGATTTAAAAAGGAAAATTTACAAAATTTAGGTTTTTCACAGAAATCTATAACCAGGATATATTTTACATTTCCAGGATAATTTTTTTTAAATTCCAAACAAAATTCTGGTTTATGTTTCCCTGTTTAAAGTAAGATGGGATCCCGGTTTCAGACAGTTATCCCAATGGGATCCCAGTTTCGTATATTTATCTTGCTTCAACTGGGATTGGATCCCAGCTTGAGACAGATATCCCAATGGGATCCCAGTTTCAGACATATATCCCGAATGGGATCCCAGTTTCAGATATTTATCCCGAATGGAATCCCGACTTCTGAGGCCCATCCCGGCTTATCCCGCTAATTTTACCGGGATTTGACTGGGATCCCGATAGATCCCGTTTTCATTTTCTCTTGGGTAAATACACGGTTAGATTTGGCATATCAAAGAACCCCAATAATTAAATTTTTGATGAAATCAAACAAAGTTTAATTTTGGACCCTTTTGACCTCAATATGAACCAATTTGATAGCGGGCCCACAAATAAAAAATCTAAATACATGGTAAGATTCAGCATATCAAAGAACCCCATATATTCAATTTTTGTTGAAATCAAACAAAGTTTAATTTTGGACCCCAATTTAGACCAACTTGAAAACTGGGCCAAAAATCTAAAATCTAAATACATGTTTAGATTCAGCATATCAAAGAACCCCATATATTCAATTTTTGTTGAAATCAAACAAAGTTTAATTTTGGACCCCAACTTGGACCAACTTGAAAACTGGGCCCATAATCAAAAATCTAAACACATGTTTAGATTCAGCATATCAAAGAACCCCAAGAATTCAATTTTTGTTAAAATCAAACTAAGTTTAATTTTGGACCCTTTGGACCTTAATGTAGACCAATTTAAAAACGGGACCCAAAATTAAAAATCTAAATACACGGTTAGATTTGGCATATCAAAGAACCCCAATAATTCAATTTTAGATGAAATCAAACAAAGTTTAATTTTGGACCCTTTTGACCTCAGTATGAACCAATTTGATAGCGGGTCCACAAATAAAAAATCTAAACACATGGTTAGATTCAGTATATCAAAGAACCCCATATATTCAATTTTTGATGAAATCAAACAAAGTTTAATTTTGGACCCTTTTGACCTCAATGTGGACAAAGTTGATAACGGGGCCCAAAAATCAAAAATCTAAATACATGGTTAGATTCAGCATATCAAAGAACCCCATATATTCAATTTTTGTTGAAATCAAACAAAGTTTAATTTTGGACCCCGATTTGGACCAACTTGAAAACTGGGCCCATAATCAAAAATCTAAATACATGTTTAGATTCAGCATATCAAAGTACCTTAAGAATTCAATTTTTGTTAAAATCAAACTAAGTTTAATTTTGGACCCTTTTGACCTTAATGTAGACCAATTTGAAAACGGAACCAAAAATTAAGAATCTAAATACACGGTTAGATTCGGCATATCAAAGAACCCCAAGAATTCAATTTTTGATGAAATCAAACAAAGTTAAATTTTGGACCCTTTGGACCTCAATGTGGACCAATTTAAAAACGGGGCCCAAAATCCAAAAACTTAATACACGGTTAGATTCAGCATATTAAAGAACCCCAAGAATTCAAGAATAAAACCCCATTGAAATTGATCAAGAAATAAGCAATTTATACGAAGTATCTTCTTTTGCACAATACTGTGCAATTGAATATTTCTTGCTATTGTGCAATACTGTACAATTGACAATTTCTTGCTATTGCACAATATTGTGCTATTGGATATTTCTTGCTATTGCGCAATACTGTGCAATTGAAGATTTCTTGCTATTGCCCAATACTGTGCAATTGAAGATTTCTTACAATTGTGCAATACTGTGCAATTGAAAATTTCTTGCTATTGCACAATACTTATTATATAATAATTTACACATCCTGTTTGGTGTGTATCTCCTACCATATCATTATTATTTGCTTTTAAATATTAATCAGAAATAACCAACTTAAAATGGAAAATTTTAAAAGAAAAAAAAAAGGAAAAAAAGAAAAAAAAAGAAAAAAAAAAATCCCCCCCCCCCAAATTTTTTGAACCCCCTTATGATTCATCACCCCCAAACTCAATCCCAGCCTTCCCTTTGTGGTATGGTACCTTGCAGTACAATTTCAGAGAGATCCATACACTTGAACACAAGTTATTGTCTGGAAACTAGAAAAATGCTTATTTTTATCCCCTTTTTGGCCCCCAGTTCCTAAACGTTTCGGGCAATTACCCCCAAACTCAATTCCAGCTTTCCCTTTGTGATATGGAACCTTGTAGTACAATTTCAGAAATATCCAAACACTTACACACAAGTTATTGTCATGAAACTAGAAAAATGCTTGTTTTTTGCCCCTTTTTTGGCCCCTAATTCCTAAAATT